TTTGGAGATTCGCGCTCGGCCTTCGAAGATTCGCGCTCGGCTGGTGAGACTCGTTCTTCAATTTTCTCGGCCTCTCCTGGATGTCCTGGCTCTTCCGATGTCGCCACAATAGCGGTTGGTTCCGTCACGGCTGGGAACTTCTCTCCGAAGATCTCCTCGCGTGAAACCGTGCTGATGGGAGATTCGGCGGCTTTCGGAGATTCGTGCTCCGTAATTGGTGACACATGGTCCTTAATCCCTTCTTCTGGTTTAGGCTTTTCCTCGTAAGCTGATTTCGTAAGATCAGTTTCAGGCACGGCTGGGAACATTTCGGCTGAAATTTCTTCAGTGCCAAGTGGTTTCGGCTTTGGCGACTCTCTTTCTGCTCGTTGTTCATGCTCCTTATACAGGTCTTCATGCTTTTGTTCATCATCCTTTGTTAAAGCTTCGTATGCGGCAGAAGCGCCCATTGCCGCCAAAGCTACTGGGGCTACAACAGCTCCTCCTGCAATCTTTGCGGCTTTGGTAGCGAAACCAGCTGATTTATCACCAAATGATGGACTTGTGTCTTCGTCAGGGATGAATATCGACCTAGGCCCAGCGGCTATCCCTAACTGTGTTTCTCTATCAAGCTCTTCACTTCCAACATCAGCGTGAAAAGCGTCGCCCTTAAATGTTTTCTGGAAGGAAAGCTCGTCTCTAGTGATCATGGTTCCCGGGACTCTTTCCTTCGTGCTGTCTACGTGCATGCCATATTCCTCGGTGTACTCAGGTTCCACTCTGCTACTTGCTTGAAAGTCTCTTGCGTATTTTTCATGAAGCTCTGGTTCGCCTTCTTCGTGGCGCGTCATTGTGATTGTGGTTTTGGTTATTTCAAACGGCTGTTGAGAAATTGCACTTGTTAATGCATCTTCGTGTTTTTCGGTGTCTTCAGTGTTCTCAATATCTTCTGGAACTTCGCCTTCTTCGTATGTTGTTGTAGTGATAGTAGTAGTTTCTTCAAAGGGTTGATAATCCCCTAGTGACGTACGATCTTCAGGTAGATCTAGAGTTTTTATATATTCTTGTTTCTCGTAATGCTCTGGTGTTCCACCTTCATCTTCATAGCGCGTCATTGTTATCTTAACAGTTTCCTTGATAGGTGAGTGCTTCATTCTGGACTTAGAACTTATGGGAGATTCAGGTGATTCCACTTCTTTTCGTGCAAGTACCCGTTCTGGTTCCTCTTTATGCAGTTTCGTCGCCACGGTGGTGACTACTTTCTCCACAGGCTGATACTGTTTTGTGGGGCTTCGGGGAGCGTCTTCAAAGTATCTCGACCCTTTCAGATCCGGAGTATCTTGACTCCCGGGCTCCCCATGAAGCATAGTAGTTACAGTGGTGATAACTCCACCATGCGAATAATCATCTCGCGAAACCGGAGCTGTAACTACTTCATAGATCTCTTGAGCAGCATGTACAGGTGTTTCCACTGATTTTGGTGATTCTCGTTCATACCCTCTGGACTCTTCCTCGATTTCAGGCTCTCCGATACGCGTGCTTATCACAGTTCTTTGCAAGGGCGCATAGTCTTCAAAGTCAGGTTTTATGGCAGGCTCTTCTCCAATACGCTTGCTTATGACGGTTGTAAATCTTTCACCCACAGGCGCAAATTCATCACCAGTTTCTAGTGAATAACCTTCCGCTTTTCGCTCTGCTTGATCTCGAATGGCCGGGGTTGCTTCGTACTCCTCACTTCCGGGCATGACCTTCAAAGTGGCTTCACTTACATACGGATACTTTCCTTGCGAAACTAGTTCCTCTGGTGATTGAGGCTCATATCTTTGGAAGTCTTCTTGGCTTCCCCGCTCTTCTCTTTCATGCATGAGTGCTGCACTGGGGATACTCTCCGTTACGAAAGAGGGTTCTGTTTGAGAAACTGGGCTCAACTTCTCCTTTACTGCTTCAGCTGGCTCTTCATCGTGTTTGTAGCCCAATCGATTATCAGGTTCCTCTCCAAAAGTAGTGGTTGTGACAGTGGTGATAGTCCCTCTGGCAGCTGTGCTGTCTTTGTCTCCAGCTTGTGTAGCCTCAGGAACCATTTCGTAAGGTGTTCTTATCGTTGTCGTAACGGTCTTTGGTGCTGTAGAAAAATCACTGTCCTGTGTGATTATTCTGTAGTCTCTTTCCGTTATGTCTGGGAAAGTGTCGAACTGGATCCTCTCGTCGTGTGCACGGTCTGGGAAGGGCTCTTGTCCAGACTGTAAAGCGGAGTAGGGTCCAGCTTCCACAGGTCCAGTCTCATCATATCGCTTTTCATCTTCTTTGTAATCCAAGTGCCTTCCAGGTATGAGATCACTAATCCTTTCTTTTTCTTGTTCTTGCTTTTCACTCTCGGGTGTTTCAGGTACTTCGATAGTTGTTGTAACAGTAGTAACCGTTTTTGTCATTGTGGGATATTCAACTTCTTCTATTGGCTGGCGTGGTGTTGGATAGGAAGATGGTTCCTCTGCTTGCTCTACAATCCCTTCTGCAGATTCCGGCATCTCCATATAACGAGTGGTTGTCACTGTAGTCACGGTCTTTTTTACAGTTCGATACTCGTGCTCTTCTTTGGGATATGCCGGCTCTTCCACAACGTTCTCGTATCTTGGAGGTGCTTCTGCGTGCTCACCAAAAGATACTACTCCTTCTGGTTGCACAGCCTTCTGATCCTGAATCTCATGAAAGCTAGATATAGGAGTAGTCCTAGTCTCTGCCATTTTTGGATGTTCTTCGGGTGGTTCATCTTGGATCGGTATCGGCGGAATCACTTCGTACTGATCTTCATCCTTTTGTTTTTTGGAAACACCCGCCAGCTGTGGTGACTCAGATCGCTCTTCCAGCTCAAGCATTTCTTCTCTAGTCATTTCTATAACGGTTTTCGGATATGTAAGATACTCGTCAACTTTTTCGCTTTCGTGTTCCTTGGCAACTTCTTCTATGGGTGGCGATGGCACTTTCGTCCTTGGCTCCTCAGCAAATGCTCTCTTTTCTCTGCTGTCAGGCCTCTCAAATCCTCTAGGGCTGTGCTCATCTCCACTGTAGGATGATGAACTCTTGACTTCAGCTTGTGAAACTTCTGACTCGATAGAAGGACTGAGTGGCTCTTGCGCTATGTCCTCAGTTTCAATTTTCATCGCTGGCATCGGGCTGACGGGCGTGACTACGATATCCACGGAACCTTTGTCTGGAGACGACTTTGTGGGTTTTTCATCTTGCAACGACTCGAAACGAGCGATCCTTTCGCGTACGGAACCCAGCGATTCTGAAAGAGCATCATCATTCTCACAATCAATACTTTATAATATCATAAAAATTATATATAAAAGATATATTGACTTTAAGTCGTGCACACAAATTACCAATTAACAATCACAAATACATAGGTTCACAATTAGCATGCATTTGATGAAAAAGTAGCAAATCATGTACATTGTGCAAAGGTTTGTGTCATTCTGCCAATAGCTAGTTCGAAAAATAGTCATGAAGGATAAACCATAACATACTTTGGGATTGAAACACCGATTTATATAAACTTCCAGCCGCAATTACTTGATTGACCATCTCAGAAATCTTAACTTGATTCACCTTATGGGTTAAGCTCGCGGATCGTGGACTTGGGGACCCGCATACGGACATCACCATTTTCTTTTACGTCATGTAAGCGCTGTTTTACTTTTATTACAATTTTTGATAACCAGTGTGAACGAGACTGACTTTTTTGATTTGTCTAAAGCTGCACTGGACAAATGCTCAGTTCGCAAATATATACTGCTGCTTTTGCTGTGAAACTTGTACAACTTGAAGTCAACCGCTTTCCGATGAATCTAGTAATGATTGACAAGTGACAATCAATGCATGAGTGTTCAAGTTGGTTGCTGGAATTGAGGACACGGTTTTCTCTGTCATGAAGTGTGTCCATCGAAGATAAAATGATCTTTGACTACGAAAGCAACGTGAAACCTCTCTATGCTCGCTCTTTCCTTTGATCAGAATTTACACAAACAGAAAAGATACATCCTCAAGATAGAGAGAAACCTGTTGCAACGGTTCTATCAGTATTCTTCCATCTCAAAGCCGCCTTTTGTACAAAAGGAGGTGAACACGAACTTTAATAAGGTACAAAATGCATGTATAGGGAGGGCTAGGGCTTCGCGTGATCGCGAAAGTCGGTGAGTTTGCAGCCATTGCACACGCATTGAGCTTTCTAAGTTATCTTTGTCCTTTTCAAAGGTTTTCTGCTATCAAATGTTAGCCTCCAACTACCTGAAGCGATTTTAAAAAGTACGGGATTGTTCAACTGGCCTGAGCCTTGTGGCATCGTGCGTGGCAATGGCCGCAAACTCACCGACCCTCGCGATCATGCAGAGCCCTATAGTTGTCCTATTTCCTCATTTTGGCAGTAACTCTTGTATCTGATCTTTACTGTTGGTTTTTCGAGCCAATTTCCGCAAATCTTTTTGTCAAAACATTTTAGCTCGACACTTATCCACTTTATAGTGTACTTTCCACGCATTACACGAGCTCTATTGTTTATTATGACCAATGAGGGAAGTAATACTTTCAAAATCCTTCATTCCTCATTAATTTGATTTTCAGTCAAGTTTTTACTCAACTATTGAAAAATGTGCTCGCTTGTTCTTTGATAACTAGTGAACTCAAAGTGATGTCATCTATTCTTTCTTCGGATGTAGTGGTTTAGTAGGCTTTTGGTCTAATTGAGTCGGTCTCACTGAAGCGATTTGTCCTTCCGGGGAATAATTCAAGTACGCTTCTTTAATTGTCATGATCACTCTATCATTATGATGCAACCCACCACCGATATAAGTGCATTTAGGCAATTTGTTTATTGCTTACATCTTCACCATCACCGTACAACACACTGGCAGAGAGCAGCACACACCGCACAATGACACATGATTTTCTGCTTTATTCAACACAACATAATTACGTAGGCAACGCAATGTGTGTGCACCATTGTTGTTGTATCCAGCTGGAGACTAGAGACGAAGCAGAGGCAATGAATTTGCTGTGTGAAGAATTAGCACTAAAAGCCACATTGGATAGCGATATATAGTGTAGGCTAAAGCTGGGTGCAAAGGAAGTAGCGTGTATACGTGCACGATGCTCTAAAAAAATCTAAACCGCTTTGCTGCAATAACATAACAAACATAAAAGGACAAATATCGAATTTTCTCGTTTTTTTCATAAACGTAGAACGTGCCAAGGCCCATAAAGCATGATCAGCAACATATACTGTGCAGTTTCCGTAATCTACTGTGTGCATCTATCCGTTTCCGTGCCAGTCACTTTATATTTATCCCATAAATCACGTATACAACGCGATATTCCGCTGAACTACCACGTTTGCTAGCTGAATTTGCAAAATGAAGCGGAATCTCTCGTGTAAAACAGAGTGTGGGCGAAAAAAAAACTGAAAAATTAGGAACAGAAAAGCGAAGCGGAAAGTCAAAGGTACGCAGATGACAAAACTCCACACTCCACTGTACGACACGAGATATATTTGGTGAATGAGAATGAAAAGTTGTGTAGACTCGGCAGTCACTGTGGTCTGCGCGATCACTCACCGGGAGTTGGTTCAGCATCGCCTGAAAAGATAATTAGATTGAGTGTGGAGTAAAGCACAGAATGATATGAATTTTGCATTGTTCTATTTTTGAAAAAAAACATTATCCAGTCTCGAAGTACATTTGATAAAGGACTTCTAATCAAAATCAGTTCTGCCTCCGGTTTTTCCCTATTCTGCAAGAAAATTCAACGGGCGTTATACGAGAGCTTAAGCAGACGCTTTTAAAAATCTGATCATGCTCTAAGCTCCGTAAAAAATTTTTGTTAGCGCTTGAAAATTATGAGAGCAAAGATTTCAGCTCTCGTAGACTTGCTCGAATACTAAAGTGCAACTGTTAACCCATAAAATTTTTTAAATTTCAAAAAGCTCCAGCGACCTTTCCTCTATGCTAGCCATTCTTTCTAGATATAGCAGCAAACTATACATTCTTATGTTTCATGAAGCTTATCTTTGCCAGAATTCGGCCGACTCAAAAAATAGTATAAAAGTACTCCAAATCTTTCCTACGCAAATGATCCAGCGCAGAAGCCTTACTTGCGAATCTCTTTACAACGTAATTTTGCAGTCGCAAAAACGATCCATCAATGCGATCAGGATCTGACAGATTCAAAAAAAACTGGTAGCTGCAGATGCTTCTAAATTGCCCTGAATATCTCCTTGATCACGTGATTACATTATCCGTTTGTCATATAAAATCTTTTTTAATGGAATTTATTGCATATATGCCAGCTGAAGACTGATTATAGCTCTCGTGCTTCGTGTATATCCAAATTATATCCAAATTCTAGAGGCAAAATGGTAGCGCAAAATTCAAACTTTCGAATGAAAATAGATTTTATAACTCTATACTTTCCGCACAAGACCTCGTAAATCACGATTTGTTCACTTGGGTCTGTTGTAATGTGCTCGAGTGTTTTCTCTCGAGCTGCTCAGTATACGCGAAACTTGCGACTTGCAATCGATAAATACAACCGAGGCACCTGTCCAACATTTTCAGAAGAGCAATAGTTTGAGTAAACTTAGGCCTAGCAGGCTCAAGTTTAGATAAGACAGTTGCCTAAACCGTTTTACCGCTTACTGCGCTCTAGTTTAGTATTGCCAGGTCTCAAAACATTGAAAGGAAAAAAACGAAAAATGATCAACAAAAAAATTACCAGGAAGGGTTGTTTTTGTTGTTGTGACGATACGTGTCATCTTTTTCGACACGACGACAGAACCGTCTTCGTTGGTATATCCTTCCTCAGCAGACTCCTTCTTTTGAGTAGTTCCTAGAACGAACGATAATCAGTTGAAAAAGTCGACATGTCGTAATTGCTACTACTAGAAAAGCGATTTTGTAATATATTCTCAACTTTAGAAAATGATAACTAACCAGTGTCCGGAGCAACTTCCACACCTGCCGATGCTGAAAAAAGTAAGATGATTTAGTTGACAAGAAAAATGGGTGGAAAAGTCGTTTTGAATATTTATTAGTTGAAAAAGGGATAAACCTTTTTCTTGGATAAAAAAGAACACTTTGACTATTGTAATCTATTATGTTTGCTAAGGTTCAAAACAAAGTAATAGAGAGACGTAACTGCCAAATACTCATTTTGTACGTATTAAGAACTGTAACTGATAAAATCGGTTGCTTGTCTATCACAAAATTCACTACTCTCCCGTTTTGAAGCATTTTGATGCACATAATAGCGAGGCGGTAATATTCTAGCTCTTTTGAGGTTCAAGACTAAAATAGCAGTCTAGAAAGCAAGAAAAATAGGAATCGTGCCTACTTAAGCTGCTGAGCATCTGTTGATGCAATTCCCGAATCTTCTCCGGATCCAGACCGACCATTCCGGGGGTTTCCGTCTCATAAACTGTTTTCGTCGTAGTCGTATGTCTACTTTGATTTACACGTATCTGAATGTCCCTGCCTGGTCCAGCGGCAGTAAGTGCCCGAGCTACAGCATCGGCAACCGCTGGATCGGCTGGCGTTACAGCACCGGCTGCTCGGAGTTCTTCTTCCAACTCTTTGAGTCTGTTCACTGCTTCAGTATGGCGGTCTGGAGAGGCCATTTTGAGTGAATGTAGTGTGAATAGGAGATCTGTCAACAGACGTTCAGTTTCGCCACTTGGTGGTAGATCTGATGCTGAAGTAAACCCTGCTTCCGATGTGGCGGTTTCAGTTTTAGGCTCAGTGGAGGGTTTTGTCGTGGATTCAGTTGTGCTTGAGGGAGTAGATAGGGGCTGGCTAGCCGTAGTAGTTCCAGAAGCGGCTTCTCCACTTTCTTCTGCTTCCAATATCGGAATCGAGCTGGACGGATGAAAAAAGCCAACCTGTGGAACGCCTTTCGGATCGATGTGTTGTAAAGCCTCGGCCAGTGAGGCGCTGCGATTGCGTTCGAACTGCGCGCTGCTTGCAATAGGCGTGTCCTCGTCGTGCGCACCCGCAGAAAGCGTATCTCCTTCAGCAGGTCCTGCTGTGAAAGAAACTCTACGAGCTTCTTGCTCTTCATGGTGCTCTGCATGCTCACCACTCCAGTCTTCAGCTTCGAACTTATGTACAGAGGGAACATGGTGGACTGGCTTCACTGTGGTACCATCATCACCGGCAGCGACGACCACGCCCGAACAAATAATTTCGCCTTTTTCGGTAATTCCGGCAATGACGTGTAGGCAAGGTTTAGAGACTTCAGACGAGAAATGGGGCTCATTTGAAGCAACGTGGCGTTCTTCCGGCTTTGCAGCGGAGCCAGCTTCCTCGTGTTTATTTACAGCTTCAGAATCAAGCTCAGCTCCAATGACTCCCGCGCAGATTGGTTCACCTGCGTTGGTGACACCAGCGTAGATCTGCTTGCACTCAGGTTTATTTACAGCTCCAGAATCGAAGTCAGCTCCAATGACTCCCGCACAGATTGGTTCACCTGCGTTGGTGACACCAGCGTAGATGTGCTTGCAGCAGCTTGCATCGCAACTTTTACAAGCAGAAATACTCTGAGAATGTGCACAAGGCCTAGCAGTGCCATGTTCAGCAGCAACGACACCAGAGCAGATCTCGTCGCCATTATTTGTGACACCAGCGACGATGTGCTTACAGCAGGACATCTTGACGATATGAGTTCTCTACCTACTCGCCGAAGCCTGAGGGCAAAAGCAAAGGCTGGGCGTTTGAAACAGCTGACAGCTATCGCACCGAACACACCCCGTTTTCTTCTCTGATTCTCTTGAGAATCTTCACTTTTCAACCAAAAGCTCCAAGGATAAGCTGTGCACATGCCAAGGTTCGAGAGTTATTCGTCAAGAAAGAAAAGCGCTATCCTGCAGAGAATGGTAGAGCTATCAAGCACACGAGGTTTATTAAGCAGGGGCAGCGAGAAACAAAACAAGCAACCGATTTTTAGCGTCTATCACACTAAAATTCAAACTACTCAAAAATAAAAATAAAAACAACTTTCACTTTTCATTTATAGACAGCAAATCAAGTTTACTCCTACATACCTATTATAGCTGTAAAGTCAATTCAAGAAGAAAAAAGAAGACTTTTAGCAGTGTTTGTATTTGCACATAAAAATTAACTTATAGTATATATAAATATATATCATCAAAGTATTTCTGCGTCTTTATAAAGTTCATATCAATGACATCAAAACTGTGTTTTCGAAAAAGAAAAACTCCTTGGATCATTCAGCGGCTATTCACCTCGAAGTGCTTCTTCTTCGTCTTCGCCTTCCTCAGAGATAGGGGCGGGCGACTCTGTAAAAAAGACGAATTTTAATAGCTCAATGAACCATACAAAGATGGGTTATGTCGCCCACCCCCGACAGAATTTACATTTTTTCTATGCGCATTAACCGATTCTCAGGATATTATTTGCTCTCAAGTCACTTCTAGATTAATTTAAAAATTTACTTATGCGCGTGCCCAAGCTTTCAAGTTAAAAATATGTTCAAAAATAGAGCAGTTGACCATCAGCGCTAGCATATCGATCATCAGCACTGCTCGCAACTTTTTCTGGTTACATCTCAGCATCTGCTCGCTCTGACGCAAAATACAACGAAAGGGTAAGATGGAAACGTTGGATGCGTGGGGAGAGACTAACGGCAGAGTAGGGGAAGATTTTATTGTGCACCCCTTTCACAGCTCATGGATGAAAACCCATGCTTTTTGTTCTTCCTTAGCTCTAATTCGTTTACATAAATAGCAAAAAAAAGAAAACAAGAATACAGCCAACTAAATCTGATAGAAAACTTTTTTCATTTTGCAGAAGCAAAGAAAAAAGATCTACGGCATTTATCGAATCCGTAAGAGAATTCCAGTCGCAACGTCAGATGATTTAAATAACATTACGTCCTTATTGTCACAGTAATCCATAACCCAACCTCAAACCGGATATCCAAAAAGGGATGCAAGCGAAAATTGCGGTAAGCATGCGTGGGCTCCTTTGGTGCACAAATGAAATGTGGATTTGGGTAGGTGGGTGTGGTTCAGAAGGAAAAAAATTCAAAATGAAACTTACGTGAAGCGTAATGACTAGTGATTGTCGTCGTCGTCACTACAGTTCCATCCGGTTCCGTGTACTTTTCGGTTTCAACTTCCTGAGCCATTCCTTCCGGTAGTGGTTCTTGTTCTTCTTGTTCGTATGCTTTATGTCCAGCAAGTCGATTTAATTCTTCCCATCTGGAAACATTACTTGGAATGCTTTATACCCAAAAATAAATGAGAAATGTTTACTTTTGCTTTTCTTCTTCGTTAAGGGGCACGGTTCGGTCCACAACATGCTCGTTGACGGCTACATCGTCTTCATAGGTTGTTGTAATGGTTCTTTCCTCTACGATGGGACCGTCTTCAGTGTCATGGACATGTCGTTCCGTCCGCACTACTGTTCGTACTTCAGATACTGTTTCTTCTTCTGAAAAAAGATGGCACTGTTAAGTTAAAAGAAAAAAAAGCATTTTGGTATGCTCGTACCGTCAGGTTGTACCATCGCACTTTCTGGTTCATGAACTATCGCTTCATTCGCGTGTGCTGTTGGCAGTTTGGTGGTGTACGCTATGCCAGCAGAACCAGCGGGGGAAGCCTGAAGTATGGATTCACTAGTGAGTGAGGTAGATATGTCGTAGTGTACAAAAGAAAACCTCTCTATCTGGATGTTCGACAGTGGCCTCTTCATGACGGAATTCATGAGTTTCGTAAGGAGGTCCCTGTACGGTTTCTCGTATGTCACGACGTGGTGGTGGCATGGGTGGTACTGGTTTTTCCCTATATTCTTGCTGTTCCCTTTCTTCGAAGCGTTCAATGCGTTTCGGAGAGGATGGCACGCCATTGAGCGTTCTCAAAATGGAAAACGATGAATTAACAAAAATGCTGCTAGAAAACTTCAGAAAAGAATGAAAAAACCCTACTTTTGTATAGTTGCAGGTAATTCCACATATTTTGCAGGTTCGAAACGTTTACTAGACGGCGAATCGCTGCCGTTTCCATAGCTCAACGAATCCGGCTCGCCATGTGCAATACTGCGGACGATGTCGTCACGACCGATACGCCGCAAAGCACTATCCAATCGTTCCGGACTTGCTTCTTCCTTCTTTAGATGGATCCATATTTTCAGTACGTTGTGAATTTCTTTGCCAGGATAGTTCTGACGGATATATTGTATGTCTTTATGGGGAAGCTCCAGTGCTCGAGCTAATCGCTGCCAGTCAGGTCCTACAGCTTTCAAAACATTTTGGTGTACGTATTCCGGAAGTTCCTGGAAATTTATGGGTCAGTGATGGTCTTCAAGTGTGAGGTTGAGATAACCCACCTTCTTCAAAGCATCCTGATACTTCACCTCAAACGGTGTCGTGTCTTTTCGTACAATTGGCGGTGGTACTTCGCCTGTGTATTCTGGTAGGGATATAGCCAAAGTACAGATTGGCTGTTGTGGTGGTAGAGACTCAGAACGGATCTTCGGTTCGGTCATGAAAGCAATTCTACCCTCGGTAGCTGCTTCTGTGTCATCTTTGCTACGGGTCTGCGAAAGAATTATTTGGAAATCGACCTAGAATGTTTTACCGTGAGACTCACCTTAACCATGAAAGCGAGGCGATTCTCTTGGAATGGTAAGAAGTACAAGCTTAGCTGATCTCCGCTCTTTGTCACTGGCACGAGATTTCCAGCAAATTCCAAAAATTGGTGCTTTCCTTTGAGGACCTGCAAGTACCAGTTGCTCATTTACTAATTTTTAAACGCTTCATATTGGCAGTTCCTGAGTTTTGCTCTACTTAAAGCAGTATTGACAGGGATTTACCACCTTACCATAAAACAAGACCGACAAGTTAGAATAACCAATGAACTCATGTAAGTAAGCCAAATAGTACAAATAGACAAGCAGTATACCTCTACGTCTCTAGACTTGGCAATCATCTTGAAGTGTTCTTGCTTTTCTAGTGTTTTGTCTTCCTTATCATCCGTCATGCAGAACACTCTGAAAAAAAAAATGGCTGAGCCCTTGATCCATCGTCACTTATTCAAACCGCGTTGGAAGTGCACTATTATTACCTTAGCTGTCCCTCAACTGGGAATGTTCTTCTAGCGAACACAGCAAACTTGGCCATGTATGGGATAGCGATGGCCTCATTGTACACTTCTTGAGCCATTCTTGCTGCATCCCGGGGAGTTTGGCAATCCATCAGCCAGAAACGAGCAGAAACAGTCGTGGTAAACGACACCTAAATAGTACATGCATAGAAAACTAAAAGAGGATTGTGGCAGAGAAATTTACATCTTCTCCGGTGAATGTGAGTTGTGTTGTTCCGGTGATGTCTTCCCATTGTGCTGGAGCGGATCCGCCGGTGATAGAGCATAGTAATCGCAGAGTGGGTGGTTCTTGTCCGGGTTGTCCCGAATACTGGGTAAGCATTCCCTGAATTACCAAAAAGATAATTGGATTCTTTTTTGCCTTTAGCAATGTTAAGCGCTCTACCTTGTTGCTGCTTTGTGGTAGTGGAATGCATAGAGTGATTGGTTTGTGGAATTTTCTGCGCCTCGGTTCGACAGTCACAATCGGTGACACCGCTACTCGATTGCCATGCAGTCTGGTGACCATTTCTTGGGGCACCGGTTGTGCTTGTACCGACACTTTGATCGTCTTCGTGAGAGATCCGTCGGGGAAGATGGCTTGTACACGTGGTACCACCGAAGACATAATCACACCACCCTCAGGGCCAACACAGTGCACCTAAAGCAACAGTTTTAAGATTTGATGTTTTGATCGAAAGAAAATGAACGAACCTCCTGCCGAACTCGAGTCACAACCGCAAAGTACATCGGGAAGTCATTGGTGAGTATCCGGGTAATTCTAGGTGTATGGAGATCATCGAGTTGGGCCAATTCTTCAGCGTCAAACGACTCATTCAGCACCTAAGATGCTATAATTGTTCCCAAAGTCTGGCTGAGCATATATCACTCCTACCTCCTGCACAGCGTCTTCGGTCGCTTCGAGTTGGTGTTCTTTCCAGTGTTGGCCGTCATCCGAGCGCAGGATGACTATTTCACGTTCGCGATCTCTCAGAGACGCGAAATGGGGCACTTCTAGGATGACTGGACCGAGGAATTTTGCGCCTGCGGGAGCCATTTCCAGAATTCGTGACGCAAGTTCTTCACCTTCGCTAAGCGGCGGTGGATGGGCTAATTTATCCTGAAGACGAGGTTTGTGCACAGAGCTTTCTCATTTCAACTCCTCAATTGTACTACTTACCTTCCTAAGGTAACGACACGTAACACGCACAGGTTGACTGGCCTTTCGTGGTGGTATGATGATACGTACGCCAGAATGGCGACATCCTCGCATTGCACCACCACGAGCGTCGACCAGAAATGAGATCAGGAAACTAAAAAAATGTACATACTTCCGATTTCTCCACACCTGGTAAATTGCTATACTATTCAAACAACGCAGAAGAGGTTTGATATGATCATTCACAAAAACGTCGAAGCACTACTGGGACGCAAAATTGTCGTACCATAATGCATAGTGTACGATGCCATTTGGCGTTTTTACTGGAAGCAAAAGCGTCAAATGCTACCCCTCGGGGTGCTATCGTCGTATCACTATACGATGGTGCTCTGACATTTTGTGAATGCTAAACTACACACACATGGTAAAGTACTACTAAAATCCAAATCTTATCTCTGTTGCTTAGATTACTAGTCTATGGGTAAGACACTATGAGGGTTCCACTTGCAATTATTTTCCCAACAAACCACCACACCAAGCGTCTATCCACCTCCCAGTGCGACGATTTCACTACGATTAGAGCTGAGTGGGAAAGGAAATTGCGTGTGTAAGCGGCGCAGCGCATTTCTTCGCTGCACAGGTGGTCGGCTAATAAGCGAGAGAGATGTAATGCATGAGCAATTTCTAAACATCCGACGAGATGTTTACAAACTTTCTCTCTCGAGGTCTGCCGCCGCGTGCTTGCGCACAAATTCTTAGCAGTCGCAGCATGCAAGAGTAAAAAAAATTGACTAAGCATCACGAAACATCACAAGCACTACGGTTCAGAGCTAGCGAAGAGATCAACTTACGTCTTGTGCTGGAGTTTACTGTAAATTCTAATTGTTTAGATATATGCATAGGGAAACCTATCCAAACAATAATAAAAAAAAAAGCACAAATTACCTTGGCTGAGCGACATTATGCCCGATCGGCACGTTGTCATTAGTAGTGAATGACCGATCGAGAGCCGCTGCGTCATTGACGATTGTTTGCATCGGTTGAGCCTCAAAAGCACGAATTTGTTCCAGAAAATCAAGCTTCCGCTCTAGTGCAGCGTCCATCACTTTAGAGCAGCATTAGCCCATTAAATGCCCCACGGAAATGTTTTTCTATTTCGCTAAACGACGATTTAGAACCACGCAGCGAAATCATGGCCGACCTTGTTTAGTCTTGAGCTAGCAGGCTAAAATCCCCAAGATTTTCTAATGATGTTCTTGATCCCAATCATTCACTTTTGAGGGCAGTCTGGCGCTCTTCCTAATTTTGTAAGTGACCGAGATGGAGAAGCAAAATTAGAAAACAAAATGCACTTTTCAAATGATTATATGACGCAGCACTTCTTTTACAGCTTAGAAGAACTCCTTTCGATAGCTTGTTCTATGCCAAAAAGAAAAATGCAAAAGTTTTTAGATCCAAAATTCTACGAAACGGACTGATTAACCTTGAAAAAACTAAGGTAAGGGATCCAAACAGCTATCCTGCAGTTTGCAAATTTGCGTACTGTTATTCCATTGATTTCTGTTCATCAAAAGTTGTAGAAGCAGTTTAAGTTTCCCATTCCCGGTCTTCGAATGTTTACATAAAGAATTAGTGCCTTAGAAGTCACTGAAAATAAATCAAGTGCTTTTGCAAAGGGTTTAGCTATTCCTTCAAACAGCGAGAAACTCTTTTCTGCAAATTAAAAAAGCTTCCTAATGTAAATCGCTAAACTTTGCAGCGACTGTTGCAAAAGCTCAAGTTTCATTCGCAAGAATGTTCCTTATGAAACCAGAGCCGTTCCTGAGTGTTCTCATACATAAATTGCATTTAAAGCACATTCGTGGGTAACATCAATGACATCATTACATTGGCTCACTTTGCTATAATTAAAAATCTTTAAAAAATTTAGCAGTTACCTGTGCTTTACGAATTAGTTCATCTAGTTTGTCTGGTCCGCCGTCAGTGGTAGCAACGGCCGCTACTCTTGGCGCTGTTCCATCGAATTCTGCGCTCTTCGACAGCAGCTGAAAATTATGGATTTCAAATAACTACAAATGATTTTGCTTTGATATCATCGGAGAAAAATATGGTGGGTCCCATAAGACTCCTAATCATCAAAGAGAGCCATTGTTTACATTTCTAAGCATTCGAAGCACATTTCCAATAATTTTGTACAAGAAAGACAAGGGTCTTTGTAGTAATGCAAGAGGATTACAGACCTCAGAGGTTAATCAGAGGCTAAGTATACAGTGCTTAGGCAGTTTAGCTACGAAAAAAATTCTGGTGAATGAAGCAAACTTCATTGCGACATGAAGAGTTCAAGCAAACATGACGCTTGCCATTTATTTGAGGCTCAATCAGCCCAATAAGAACCTTTTTACGTCAGGAAATTGTCAAAAGGACATTCAAGTGTCGTAAGTAATGACGGGCGTCCGTCTCAATGGCGTGGGAGTGAGGGTGCGAAATATGAAACTCTCTAAACCTTAAATTGTTTTCGTGACATTTTTCATACATTCGTGCTAGGCACCGACTTCTTTAGGCTGAATACTTTTTTCAATAAAGAACATTATGAGAAAAATGGTCCAAAAGTTTGACTAATTAACTGTTCTACTTCATGGAAAAAATTACTGAACTCACAGCAACCACCATTGGCACCACCAGTAAACCTATGTGAGCAAGGGTTTATTCAACCACTAGGGCGTAAATGAATGTCAGCGCTGAAGTTGGCAAGGAAACTCGTTCATAATGCAGGGCAAACTAGCAACCCTCAGAGTGATCCCCGCGCGCTAAGTGAGCGAAATTTTACGTTATACGCTCAAAGTGAATTCGAAGAACGGTACTTTTTGCAAATCTGAGGTAAAAGCAGATGCAAAGTAGTGTTAGAAGCAATACATATAGATTATGTGTGGAGCAATTTCACCTTCCTGCCATACGGACCGTTTTAGTAGTTCTCACCTTTATTGAACTTTGGGTGCGAGGAAGAACAAGAAAAGCGACTTTGGCTTTTGATGTCTGCATTTTATCGGGCTTTTGCAGAAAAGACGGTATTACTCATTTTTGCAATTTAGGAGAAGAATTGGGATTGGGATTGGTTTAGCAGAGTATCGTCAGAACAGCTGACTTTGTAAAAAGTAAAAGGTATATGTTTGCGCAGTGTTCCTGCAAAAGTGAAGGGGCTGGATCAATGCAAATGAGAATGAATTTTTTCAAGCTCAGATGTGATATGAGACGTAGCCGAGAACTATAGTGCAAAATGTGGCAGTGCCGGCAATGCGCGTGGTTCGAAAGGGCTTCTCGTTGTCGGGCGGTGGCGCTTAAAACGCACCCGCACGCACGACCAAGGGGGACACATGCGGCACCGGCATATCGGCCCGTGTAGTATTTCGCAGCTTCTCTCGTGCTGCCCCGTCTTCGTCTTATGCGATGACAATATAGTCATTGATATACAAATTAGCCCAGCTGCGTCCACATTGAGACACTGGGATGTTCTTCGGATTCCACTCATCATTCACAGTCTGAGCTACCCTGGCCCAGGCACGAAAAGATCGAATGTTGGGCTAGGAAATCGCTTTTGAGGAAAAAAGCAAATAAGGGACATCCTGAAAGGTCCAAGTCGTAAGAGAAATCCCGTACTAGGGAGAAATTTGGCTTCAAAAGACAAAACACAATAGAGTTTCGGAAGTAATGTTCCCTCTTCCATAAATTCGAACAACATCCAACCCAGAACATTACATACTAAAGAGGCTCTAAATACTAAATAGGAAGTTGTACGATTTTCCTGGGCCACAGGTGACTGTTCTCAGGGATCCGATTTTGACCCTCGTAGTAAGCTTTGTTACCCTATCTTAAGATTCGTAACAACCTATAGGCTTTTAGCAGCTGCTATGACAAAAACCACTGAACAACCTGCTCATCACTTTGACTTGAAAATGAAAACGCGCACATATCCCCATTCTTTTCTCATACTAATCCACATTCAAAAGGCAAAAAAAAAAAGAAAACTTATAAAGAGAGTGCGCAATTGGAGCAGCAATATGTTAGGTACTTACAAGCGCTGTACAGCAGAGACGAGACGCAAACGGTCTGATTTGGCTTAGAACACAAAAAGTTTCCATAAAAGCCAGTCAAACTATAATGCGTAAGAACAACCAATTTTTGAGAAGGGCAATTTCCAACAGCACATTTCCGGACAAAATCAGCAATTGCTGAAACAAGCAATTAAAGACCTTGACATGCATTGTCCTTGCGAAAAAAAAAAACTTCGTTTATTTTTACGACTTTCAGAATGAGAGTCAGATATGACTATTCCAAAAGAGGGCGAAACCAATGCTGTTTTTAGCTATGCAACCACAAAAAATGCCTAATCCGCTCGTTTTTCCAATAGTTCTTGCGGCACTTTTCTCAAACTCGGGCATTTTTTGGCTACAAATCGTTCGTCTGGAAAAGCTGTCGACTTCTAGCAGTGCACGAAAAATCTGGTAATTCCTTAAAAAAGATGAACGATTAGTCAAAAGGCGCACAAGCCAAAACCCAAACAGGGAGCTCTGTTCTCAATCGCCTACCTTTTCATAAATTTGAAAGGATTTTTGAATTATGCATGACGTACATGTTTTATGGTGAACGGCGAATAGCACAAGCTTTGAGATAGGCAATTTCCAGACTAATCCAACGGATATTTTACCCACGCTATTTTCGAAGCCTGCATAAAAAAGCATAAGGAGAAAAACATTCAATTCGATTGATATATTCTACCGAAACTCTAATCTTATTCATATTATTGATAGAGCTGTAAGTAAGGGCGATAGATAGTTGCGATCTAATCCTTGTCGTTTCTCAGAGACATTTAGCCCATGATGGATAACCTAGTAATGGCGAACTTCCCGTACACTAATGTCAGAGAAGAAAGGATGTCGAATCACTATTGACCAATGGTTCAGTCTTACAACAACAAAAATAACAACACTTTAAAAGGACATCTTAACTTTCAATCTGCTTTACCAGGCTTCTTGCTAACGTAGATGACTGAACTCCCGAATTGGGAGTGTCGTTCATTTAGTCTTGCAAAGGATTAAAACATCATGCTAGTGCATCATGGGCGTTGTAGCTGTCCAAGACTTGAAGGATTCGGCATTCCGCTATGTCGGTTTGAATGCACAAAGGCTCTTTGTAAACTAAACGCCACTTTAACTAGACTTTTCTTCGTGTTGAAGCCCTGCCCTACTTGCTGTATGTAGCTTTCTGGCTTTTCAAAATGAGCAATGGTAAGTACTCGCGTTAGCAGCTCTAGGAAACTAATAGAAGATAAAAATTGACGAGCAAACTCATAGAAAATCTAGCCTCTAAGCTGCATTCAATTATTCTACGCCAGCTTGCCATAGTATTCTTGCCCTCTATCTAATCCTATGCACCGAATTTCCAGGCAGGAATATCTTGCCATTAGAGCAAAGGAAAAAACTCAATACCCGTTCTCCAGTATGAATCAGGTGCACGCCAGTCGAATCGGCTAGTCCTTGCGTGAGCGTATCGGAGAAATCCTGAATAGGCGAATATTGTGTGACGCATTTCTCATTCTTCATTCTGCACTTTAACAAAAAGGGATTGGTTGGAAAAGGATTAGAAATGCCGCTCTTCCCAGCTGAAATGCGGGTTGCTGAGCGTGCATTCTTCTTAAGCTCTGGTTCCTGCGAATATGTTAGGAAAAGCAAGGGAATGTGGTGGACAAGCATAAAACAATTGTGGAAGCGACCCTAGGGGACGCATTAGAAGCTAGCAATAATTTTGGTATTCTTGCGAAGGTTTTATGTCTCTTTAGACATTTGTCTTGAAAATGGACGAGCTTGATGGCTCTTAATAAACTCTTCAACTGGCGGCCTGCCAAAACGTTTCCCTAAAATTTTCAACTTGCAAGCTATTGCAGCAATGCAGATTCACATTGAGACCAATACTTTGCATAACGGATGGAAAAGATTTTCTGTTTGTTAAATTGCTTACCTAGGAGACAGAAAGATAAGGTTATTTATCCAAATAAGAACTGTACACGGAATCCCACAAAAGTTTTCTGTTTAAATAGAAACTGTGCACGGGAATCCACAGCCGGAATCGCTTGTTTTAAAGGCAGCGTCCAGGCAAATCTGGACATACGGAAATCTTGCGTGGATAGTAACTCTGGGGCCCTAACTAAGCCACTGCCGAACCGGCAGCTCAGGCAGTGCTCCAACGGCTGAGATATTCCCTCGGAAGTGGACCCCAGAATCGTACGCATGGTCATGGCGCAACGCGTGGGTCCGCGCGAAACTGATGTGTTGCGCCATGAATCCATGTGAGTACAATCCCAGGGTCCAGTTTCGTGGAAAATATCTCAGCCGTTAGAGCACTACCTGAACTACCGGTTGGGTAGTGGTTTAGTTAGAGCCCCAAAATTACATTCCACGTAAAAACCCCATAGGTCCAGATTTGCCTGGACGCTGCCTTTGAGCTTCAAGTGGGGTGTCGCTCTTTGTTATCGCATTTACTCCACTCTTTACATTGTTTCATTCATTGCTTCTAGAAAGTTTGTTTTTAACCTATGCGGCATTGAGGAAGAGCCATTTGAAAAGATTTTCCAAAAAATTGAACTTCGGGTTAAATGTCTATCAATACCAATTAATGTAAAGAGGGGAAATTGGAGACTTGAGCCACGACTGCGAGCAAAGACAAGGCCAACAATGATTGATCATTTCTATGTCAAACAAGCTTTGTACTTTAAGGCGCGCACTTGCTAAGTGCCCAGCACTCGCTCTACTCCATTGCTCTGTGATGCGCATCATATTATCTAATCAAACTTTTCTGTGAAATGACTTACTTTAACGTGAGCTGTAGCCGCTTCATGCTCTGCTGCCGCTCCTTCATCTTCGCTCTCTGAGAACATTGTCTCATTCATTGCTTCTGGGTTCTGTGGCTTGTAACGATCTTCGGCTACTGTAGTAGTTTCCGTGATTACTGTAGTTTCAGTCACAGTTTTCAATGTTTCTACGACGGACACATAACCAAGGCGTTGAGCGATCGAAAGCGGGGTTTGGCCATTCTAAAATAAAGCATTTAGTTTGTGATGGCGATGAAATTTTTTCGAAAGGGGACGTACAGCAGTTTGAGCATTAGGCGACGCTCCGTGCTCGAGAAGGTAGCGCACGCAATGGTTGTGGCCTTGCTGGGCGGCTTGATGAAGTGGAGTGTAGCTGGCATGCGTTGTCTCGCCGACATTCGCTCCATGTTCGACGAGGAAGCGGACCTTAGAAGATAAATTATTACCAAAGGCTGTGGCTCGGCATAGACTTTTTTCATATTCTGGTGCTGTTAGGTGGTGGACGACTGCCCAAGACACCGTAACCTCGTCCCACCTTCCAATTAGTAGGCTGTCTTGAAGTCATGCTTACAAGTTCCACCAGCCCCGAAAACTCTCGTTGAGTGGTCAGTGTTAGAACTTTGAAGCACGATTTCAGATTGGCACACGAATTGGAAGGTAAGACTGGGGATATAGTGCACTTAGAGGGTCTACTACCTCACGGTATTAGAATCTGAAAAGAGTAGATAGTGATCTTACCATATTCAATTGGCCAAAGTGGCAAGCAACATGTAGTGGAGTATAACCGGCATTCGTCTGACTATTAACATCGGCATTGTGTTTGACCTGAAAAAAATATCGATGATTGTTAGGCATTCAAGCTTGAAAGGAAAAGGTACGAACTAGTTCCTCAGCGACTGGTACACGATCTTCCTGTGCGCATAGATGCATAGCAGTTAGTCCGTTGTTAGCCTTGGCGGCCACCTAAGGGTGTTATTTCTTTTCGGAGATGGGGAAATTCACAAGATTATAAGGAAAGAAGAGACAAGGTCAATTGCAGCTCGAAACTCACATCAGAACCATTTTCAATGAGCAATGCCGACATTTCACGATGTCCTTCTTGAGCTGCTAGATGTAGTGGCGTGAAGCCGGCTCGAGATTTCGCATTTGGATCGGCCTAAACGCGGAGTGATTTTTTGGAAAGCTAATAATTCATTCTAATTAGGTGCAGGAGAGCTGAAGTCAAAGTTTGATTGTACCAACTTTCCCCGTTGGCAAGTGTTTACCAACCAATATGGATGAAAAGCACGGTACCTGTAGTACTTCCTTTGACAGCGGAAACTCATGAAAAACTTTGAAGGTCAAGTCTCAAATTACTTTGGCTATAAGATAAGGGAGTGAGGAAATGGGTGGACTGAGACGACATATTTGTCTTTGTTCATTATGAGAGATTTGTCACGAGTTACATCCATATCTCTCAGCCTTCCTTGATAATATGATTATGAGAGATTTGTCACGAGTTACATCCATACTCTCGGCCTTCCTTGATAATATGGTTCGCTAAGATCTTTGGGCACACAGGGCTTTACTCCTAAAGAGTTCCATTGCTGAGCTATGAATGTTGCAAGGTTAGTACTAATCCCAGCCCATTTCGCCCACCGACCTCCCCCTCCCCAGCATTCCACACCTATGTGTATAGATTCAATTTGTATGCAAATAACGCACATGGTACTGGAGCAACGTGCTCGCAATGTCCATTTGGTTCTTTTTTGCCGCAATATGAAGTGGAGTATAGCCATTCTTTGCCGCTGCTTTAGCAGATGCGCCATTTTCCAGAAGAAGCATCGCAACCTAAAGTGGGGCATCGTATAGCTGCACCATCCCTTTAGCAAAAGAAAAGTCAATATAGCCTACCTTATCGTTATTGTAGTGAGCGGCAACATGTAATGGTGTTACTTGGTTTTTACCTTCGATATCTACTGGTGTACCGCGTTCTAGTAGCAATTTAGCCACCTAAATCAGTAAGAGTAATCAAGTGTGAGGAGAAAGGGTCCTCATGACTCCTTACCTCAACGTTTCCGTATTTGCTGGCCAGATGAAGCGGAGTGAAACCTTTCTTCGTCAAAACACCCTTTTCGGCATTGTGGTCGAGAAGTATCGCTGCTACCTCTTCCTGTCCCTCCTTAAAAAGCAATATCTTTACCTCCATCGCACTCTAAGGGCCAAAAGTACCGACCTTAGCGGCAATATGCAACGGAGTATATTGGTCCCTAGTGGCCGCATTGGAGTTGGCACCAGCTTGTAGCAGCAAGACGACGATATCCGTATTACCGAGTCGACTAGCGATGTGCAAAGGTGTTTGAAGCTCGCGTGCTTGAGCGTCAACCTGAAGAGGATTAAGTTAATTCAGATAGGGAATTCAAAGGGTAATAACCTGGTTGGACCAAATAAAGCCTACCTTGGCACCATTTCTGATCAAAACACGGACGACGTCAGTTTGATTTGCACGTGCTGCCAAATGTAAGGGTGTTTCGCCGCGGACTGTTGCTACATCAGGATTTGCACCCTGAAGAATTGAATTTGAGATGACTACGATCAAGCTCACACAGAACGCACGCTGCGGGTTAGGTAGTGAGTCACCGTGTGACTCAACTGAATCACTGTGTGACTCACTACCTATAATCTGCATCACAGTAAAGTGCATCACACTCGTAACCACCTCACCCATACAACTCTGTGACATGAGCAGACTAACCTGTTGTAGCAAATAGATGACGATGTTAATAGCTCCCATAAACGAAGCCACATGAAGAGGTGATAACCCTGATTCTGTGGTGGCTTCGATGGCAGCATGGTACTTCAATAGAAGTTCTACCACCTAAATTTGATGGTTGTAATATTGCCTTCGTTCGAATTCGGTTTCTCCTTACCTTGATTCTGTTCTTTTTGCAAGCAATATGCAACGGTGTAAAGCCATTTAACGCTCGGGCATTAGGATCAGCGTTACGATCGAGAAGCAGTTTTGCTACCCTGCAATAGAAATTGTGATTTTTACCAACCTGACCTCATAATTTACCCTACTACTTACCTAACGTGCCCACAATGAGCTGCAACGTGGAGAGGTGTTAGGTAGTCAACTGTGACATCATCGACTGGCGCTCGGTGATAAAGGAGGATTCGAGCCGAATCCACATGATCACCTTGAGCAGCCATATGCAACGGGGCGAGACCATTCTGAAACGAAATTACTTACTTGTATATAAAAACTCATCTTTTTCTGTTTGTTACTACACATTCGTCGGAACAAGGAAGCTCTCTCATTTTAGACGACAAAAACCTCCACTTTCCTACATTTTGGGCAACAAAAACTCCAGCTTTCCTATATTTCGCACAACAAAAACCTTCGAAAGAAAATGTAGGAACTTGCAAGACCGCAACCCTCGCGCTGCACTTTTGTTATAAAAGAAACGCTACTCACGAGCTCTAAACTCTTCCTTTACTATCATCGAAAAATGCGGGGACATTTAGTGTTCCAAAGGAGCACGATTTTGTGCTCTTCTGTTTCAACAAAGGCTTTGCATGCTTCGGAAATAGCCTCCTTACTTTTTTCTCTAAGGCTCTGACCATCGCCAAAGTTTGCAGCTTGCACGATTCCTCTCAAAGCTCTTTTCCGCCTTTTCTCCCTCCCCCCCCCCGCCCTTCGATCGCCTCGTAAAAAAGCATTCTGCACCATTACCCTACGAGAGCTGCATTTGCACGCTAACGTCACCAAGCACATTGTTCCCATTAGGGTGTGCCACTAGTGACGAAATGTTCGGCAGCGACGGAGGACACTTCTCATTGCGATAAGTGCCTCACAGCTGCGTCCCTCTGCTGCAGCTTAGCGATGCATTCATAAATAGCATGCATGCCCTAATAGTGCTAAAGTGGACCTGAGTGTGAAGATAAGGGGCAACAAACCTTTGTCTTGGCACTAATTGGAGCGCCTTTTTCGAGTAGAAGGTCCACAACTTGGTCGTGACCACTTCGTGATGCACAATGAAGTGGAGTGAGCAGATCGCGTGTTCGTGAATCGATGATTGCTCCATGTTTTAGCAACAATTCGACCATGTTTGTTCGTCCCCATTTTGTTGCGACGTGTAATGGACTGAAATTGCAAAAAGTATATTCTTGCGCATATTTCCCCATGAATACATCTTTTCAATGGGAGTAAAAAAACGCCCCTTCGGCACACTGTTGAGCGTTTTCAATACCGTGAAAGGGATGCTTTTAGTGGAGCGCTGAGGCATATCCGATTACTTCTTGGAGACAATAAACAGAAAGCCGTGTGCTCCCAATCGTAGCTATGGATTACGGTAGATTTATTGTCTTCAAATGTGGATTAGAGCAGGTGGTATTATGCAAAACTTGTCACGTGGATAAGTGCAACTGATGAAAAAAAATTGCAAAAATGATTTTTTCACATATGCAGCTACCAAAACAAAGGTAAATCAATGAATGCAACCAAATATGAATTTGGAATTCTGTGTTAAAGTTTTGATGGGGTGTGATAGTTAGTAACACTAAAAAAATTTTTGTAAGAGCATCCTAGCAAATTCTGAATTTCTTTTCCTATGTGTATATCGCAATTTTTTGCAGAGTTTTTGTAGAAAGTTCTTCGTTCATGCATAATAAGAAGCTGCTTGTCAAACATTTGTTTCCCTATTTTGGAAGCTTTTCAGAGCCTTTATTTTATCCAGTTTTCCTACTCAACTTTACCTTTCGATTCTTCAACATCAATCTAACCTTAGCGCGTTTTGTTAACCCTGTTCCAGTTTCAGTCTTATAACACGACATCTATTCTGGAAGCTAACAGCTTCCATATAAAACACCCTTACTCACTTAACGCAGCAACTTGCACTTCTCCCCATTTCTGCCATTTTTTTTTCGCGAACAGCGAAATACCGGTTCCTACAAACAATCTCGCCTTCCATAGTCTCATGCACTAAAAATTCTCCTTCCTGTCAATCGCACATGTCGCTGCACTTTGTTTACATATTACTGTACCCTAGCATTTTTTTCATGCACTTTGCCTAGCGGAAAATTTTTTCGGTAAACAGAGAAAATGCGTTGCGTGATGTTAAGCCATCCCAATGTTGAAGTGACTTGGTTGGCAAAAGCTGGCTGCTCGCTGTCAGCTAGTTCTTCGAATTCCCTCCGGCATAGTCGTGCGAGTGGCCCAGGGCTAGATTGATTGTTCTCCGAGGATTCGGTTGACATCGTTAAATTCTCGACCAACCCCAACACACTCGCATACACTAGGGCCGAATCGATGTAAGCGCAGTGTTGGCTCCGAAATGCCAACTTCCTGCCCGAAATCCGCTCCAGCGATGCCCCACATCGCCCAGCTCATTTTGGCTACTGTACTCGATCGAGAGCAGGAAATGTGGGGTGAAGACCCGCGCTATGCTGAACAGCCTGAGGACGGCTACGTTTGTACCAAATGTGCGCGCAGAATGGAACACATCTGGTTGTTATGCATATTTAATTGGGGGCTACCATCTGGGACGGGTACCCAGGAGAAAGGCGTAAAGCGGCTAATTAGTTCTTACAAATCTTAGACGTAGTTACGATGGTTTTCGTTTGTACTGGGCTTATGGAATTACTCCTGACAAAGAACAGTCAAAAAACCTAAAACATATTTAAAATCCAGAACCACTCCCTCCCTCCTCTCCCGCCAATTCCTCCCCCGTCAATATTTTCATCAACGTGCACCTCCTGCTGTGCAATGATAATTACCTGTCGACCTATACGAGGAGAAAACAGCTCATAAAAACTGACAATAAATCTGCCTCTATTACTCGCCGCTGCCATTACGTAATTGCACTCCACGGTAAAACTTCCCTCGCTAATAATTTACAGCATTTATGCCGCACTTAAACTAATAGCTCTGAACATATGCTCTAAACAAAGAACCAACCTTATATTGTGCCTCGCTTGGTAGTTTACATTGGCTCCTTTGTCGATGAGAAGTTGGGCGACATTTTCATTGCCGTAGTGAGCGGCAATATGTAAAGGTGTGAAACCGGATTTGGACGTGACGTCTGCGTTGTGTTCATTCTGTAAATGTAGCTAATGATGTGCGAGTTGCATAAATTATACGTTGTGCCACCAATCTGGGATTTATAGCTGTGCCTATAGCTGAATGTGGGGCTCAACTGGTCGTTTCAATATAAATGTTGATGAACCAGATACAGTAATCTCGATTGAATAAGTACCTGCAGAAGTAGGGTCGCCGCCCGGATATCGTCCTTTTTGGCGGCGATGTGGAGGGCGGGAAGTCGAACTTTTCCACGAGCATCGTTCTCAAGCAGTACGGCCACGACCCGATCGTGTCCTTGTTGCAACGCTACTGCTAGCGGAGTGAATCCGTCCTAAGAATTGAATATTAAGATGAGACATCAAAAATACTAAAAAGTCAAGAGAAATAAAGTAAAAATGCAGAAGTATATGAAGACGAATATTATTATTGGTATCACGAATTCATCCAAAATCAAACTGAATATGGAGAAAAGTTACTTAAGAATATTGATCAATATTTAAACAATACATCAAATGATTCTCGTATCAATAAAACTATATTGTAACCTTAGTAAAACCATAACGAGTTTTCTCTTCTGAATCAGCGATATGAAAAACCAAAAAAATTTCCAAACTACTGATTCCACAGAGAAGACTCGCTATGCCTGTAAATCATAGTAGATATCCGTACACGGGTGAGCATGAATCAGCATTCCGAATTCTGTAACTACTGGTGCCAAAATTACTGAGCCATATTTTCGACTTTAAAAGGCACTAACTGCCAAAATTTGACAAAAACTCATCTTCAGGACACTTTTTAATTTCTCGTTTTACTATGATGGTGCTCTTATCTATGACGTTATCCTCTCGTATTACCCTGCTAAAATTTCGCATTTTCTCCCACTAGACTCATGACAGCTCAATCAGGAACGTTGGGACACCCGAACATAAAACCCCGGGAATGCAAAAAAAACTTTTGGGTTCACCTAAAAATCGCTTTCAATCCGTAAAATTTGCAGTAAAATTCCCACCAAAATTTGAGGTAGCATATGCTTCTTGACTCTAATCTCCAGCACTTGCCCAGTTGGTTCTTTACAATTATCACAGCATCGCTGTGCGTCAATCTCGCAGAGGTCCACAAACACTGCAGATATCACAGCCGTCACGGCTTCCAAGTCTCAATTAATCAACTGCGGTTTTGTGGCGATAAGCAGCGCTAGCAAACAAAGGTTAACCTAACTAGGGGACAAAAAGAATAAGATAACCATAGATGATTTTTCTGATGAAAGATTCCTTTTGATAAAAGACAAGTATCAATTTTATTCGATTTTTTTCAAAAAAAAAAACAAACGAAAAGTGGTAGAAAATTATAGGTGGATATAAATAAAAAAACACATAAATCAAAAATCTCCTTTATCTCACGACCATAATTTTTATGCAGTCCCACTACCACTCAAGCCATTCTTTTTTCCTCTAACCAGAACTCCCCCATCTTGCGCAATGCTTACGTAATAATAAGTAGAAGCACAAAGAAAGGCAATTCTTGTGCCATTGCAAACAAAATAAAGTAAAGAAGATAAAGCAAAATACGATCGTGACGAACACTACAGGTATCGCTTACCTCTGTGGATAGGGCTTGATTTGCGCCATGTGATAGTAGGAATCGTACTACATCTTCATGATTTTCCTGTGCAGCCATATATAATGGTGTAAAACCATTAAGCGATTGAACGTTGACATTTGCTCCATTTTCGACGAGTATTGTAACTATTAATGACTGTCCAGCTAATGAGGCTATGTGCAGAGCTGTGTTGCCTTTCTGAAAACATTATAAAAATAATTTAGGCTTGATATTTTGAAAGTGCAGGTTAGTGTTCGGTGACTTGGGGAATTCTTACAAGTCTCAAATCAAAAAAGGCTTTTTTGCAAAACTCAAATTTTGCGGAAAAATGCACATTGAGAAACAGCACTGCGTTTTATTTGTTAACAATGACTTTATGACACCTAAGCAAATCTATAACGATGAATAAAAGAGGCAAGAATTTCTTGAAAAATTATCTAAAATATCAACTGCATTTTAAAATGATGAATAAAGTAAAAGCTAATAATCCAACCGAATCTATTAAGTGATTTGCAAAAACTTGATTATGAATAGTGAGATTTCTAAAGTAACTTCAACCTGGTTTAAACAGAACGGGTTTTGCAAATTTCTGGAATCTTTCAAGAACTTTTGGCCAGAATAGTCGATTATGTCAACTTTTCCACTATTCGCAAGAAACTCAGCTGAATAAGCGAAAATTGCCAAGCAAATTCTCGCCCACCTAAGACGTAAATCAAGTGCGCGCCCTCCTAAATCAAATTTTGCCAAGGTCATTTTCTCCAATGTGCATTTACGTCATTTGCAGCACTCAAGGCAATTATAAAAGGCAAGGCAATTATAATTATAAAGAGAAAAAACGAGACTTCTGACGTCTAGACGGGGCGGCAAGAAGAACAAACCTTGGTAGCCGAGTCGACATGCGCTCCACGTTTAAGCAATTCACGTACGACCTCGCTATGACCCTCTTTCGATGCTAAATGTAATGCGTTCAGTCCATTCGCATTACATGTGTTGATGTCGGTTCCGCCGCGCAACAGTTCCAACACTTTATCGAGATTTCCGGCACGAGCAGCACGTAGGAAACTGGCACTTGCGCTGCCCTCGCCCTGCTGAAGAGAAAAAATTGGATTGAAAAAATTAAAAATTGATAATATAAGGAAAAAGTAGATCAGTTACGGCTCATATCTCACTCATGTGCCTATTAGAATCTGATAAGGGAACGAATTCCACCGTTCTGCAACCCCGGACAACTGGTCCTTTTGCAATGCTGTTACATATCGTTTGAGGAGACCAGTAGTCCGTGGAGGTAGCCCAAAATGGCGGAGTTCGTTGCCCTATGATTAGAAATTACTGAATCAATCAGAAATTATTATTTTGGTTCACCAGGAAAATCTTCGGTAACATCAAACCTGATTTCCAGTAAAAAAATGACAGCTGTCTCCTTCTCCTCTAACAAAAACCACTCATCAAATTTGCATTTTCCTAAGTGCGCGATATGCACACCGAACATTGGTAAATGACAGGATACTGTAACTTAAGAAAAAGTGGTGTCTGTGTACTTCTTGTTTATTCTATGCTTTTTTCATCCATGGCGCTGTAGATAACGCTCGCCGAGAAATTCCTAAAGTACAGGCGGTGTAGAAAAATATGACAAGACTTCTTAGCGACATTCTTAAGAGATGTGATCTTGCATTATACATTTCTGAAGGGCTAATGCGAATTGAATATGAAAACAATTTCGCTTTGCTTGACATAATCGATGCAAATTTTGCTTCTGGATGAAAAATCAATTTACAGTTTTCGTTACTCATATCCACCATAAAACATCTACAAGTTTTCAGTAGTTTTGAAAATGAATTCTAATTCTCTTATTTGATTTAGTCTTTATTGAACCTTGCAAATCCACTTACTCTCTTGCATTACAAGCACTTTATAATAAAAAAAGTTCTGGACTCAGAATTACAGGAGATTGTGCTGAATAATTTACTCTTTTTAGGCACTCTTTTTAGGGTGTGATTTTGTAATTTTTACGTCTCTGGCGATAAGTTAAAAAACTAAATTATTCCGGCTCGAAAAGTCTTTTTTTCCAAAGAAACAATTTTCAGTAACGGCTTTCAATAAATAAAAACAACGAAAACGATCACGATAAACTGCGAATTCTGCAAGGATGCTGAGCAACCGAAGAAACAGCAATCGCTTTCCTTTTACTACACTGAATTTTCACATGACTCTAGATCGATGATAATATTAGTACTCTAAACAGTAAATTACTGGCGCTGTAAAACAAGAAAGGATTGAAGAAAGCAGGCTCGGCTTACAAACCAATGAAAATTAAAGTGAAAAACGAAAAAGAAAATGAAATCGAACAAACCCGGTTATTGAGGTCGGGAGGTGGGTCGCCCTCGCCGGCCATAATATGGCGTTAGTGGCTGGGTGGTATCTGTAAGAGCGAGAATAAACTGACTAGAAGCTAGCTGGGCTCTTTTACGAGCCAAAATGTGCAGCGGAGCAACGAAATGGTGAACGACTCTCGCGACAGAGAACTCGCGCTTAGGAGAGATCGATTCCTCTACGTGTCTGACCCGGCCGGCAGGCCGGGAACGAGCCTTAGACTCCATCCGTAACTCGTACGCTATCTCACTACCCCGGGGACGACGGGGGCTGCGGCGGCCCCGTCCGAGAGCAGCGCCGCCGGATGGGCGGGCTGCCAAACGCACCGGCAGCAGCAGCAGCCGTCCGAAACTCGCCGCTGCGCAGCTACAAGGTCGGCACGCCCCATTTATTTGGGGTGCAGCAGAGAGTCAGCCGTCCTGACCAATTAATTCAAAATGTATGGAGTAAAGGCTCATTCCCCGCGGTTGCCACTGGGAACAACACGTAAAATCTGGGATACGGTAGGCGACAAAAACACGAAACTCAGACGACGCGAGGTAATTCACGAAAATTAAAGAAACCTGGCGTAAAAGGCGATTGTAGAAGAGCGAGAAATTACACGACAAGTGCAGCTATTAGATGAAACTACTTCACAAAGAGTCACACCAGATGTGTTCAATGGCCATTCAATAAGGTAAAATTGTGATTGTAAGAAGCGGTGCTACGCTTCGAGTGGAGGAAATTGCACGAATCAAGGCACGCAGATGTTCATTGCGATTAGCGAATAGTTCGCGGAAGAGGCAAGGAAGGGTATGCTGGCGAGATGACACCAGCATCCTGAACAAACATACAACAAAGGAAAAGCCGCTGCCGTGAATCAGGTCAATGAACGGAGAGCACAACGGGCAGTAAACCATGAATGCAACATGATAAAGAATTTGTTCAGAACAAATTATAGATAAAAAAAATCCTGTGTCCTTGTAAACGCAGTCAAAGATAAATGGATGAACAGCTCCGTACTCAAGTATGAAGCAAAAAACACAACATCCACTTAAATACCCACGTAGTTTTTCCACTATTACCCAGTTTTGAAGGTCCTTCATAAAAAACTACACAACACTTGAGTGCTTTAATCCAATTACTCATTGCAACAGAAAAACTGGCATGATCCACCCTATGAACAAACAGTAGTCCTTGACTTGGTATTAGTCAGCAGAAAGATAATAGAGTGGTCTAAAATGTCAACAATTATGGTGTGCATCAGGCATGTGGGGGTGTGTCTCTTCTCGAACGGCACGTGCTGTCCTATCAAGATGATCATCCTATTTGTGCCTCATGCAGGTGATTTTGGGAAGAAACATCTGCAACTTGGCGATATTCTGAGTGTTGCCAGGGTACGGAAGGAGTTCCCCCTCCTCTTCCCCTCATAAGAATATTCTCTATCCTCGCACAATTGGATCTTCATTCAAAGAGAATGAATGTAGAAAAACAGTAAAACCACCAGGTATTTTTCAAAGTAGAGCTTCACTGGATGGAAATTACCCGCACAGGTGTCAAAAACGCAAACTTAGAATGATTGACGCAACGGAACGCGTAACAATTTGGTTGCGGCGGTGACGAAAATGAAACCTCAAGTGAGATGACCAAGGTCATACATATACGACCGGTTGCGGAACGCATCCTTATTCGTCGAGGTAAACGCGTTTCTCAAATGTTCATTCTCAGATCCAATATTCTCCTAACAGAACAGTTTGCAAGACAAAACTTCATCGAATATTATTTACGCAGACAGATACTGACAGCAAAGGAACGTCAACTATTTAGCAAAATGCATGTTTTTTTTGCTATCTTTATTATCAGTGATGACAATGATCCATGTTCCTGATTTTTGTTCAATGAGTATGAACAGGATAGATGATCTTGTCATAGAATACACGTTTGAAGGAGGCGATCGAACAGTTGCAATCAGCAAGCATTTTGGGTACTCCAAACTGAATGCCAAGACACTGCCCTCGGCTACGTTCCATCCAAATATGTGGTGCCATAAGACACAGCCGTAAAGAAAAAGTACCTATTAAACAGGTGATAGCCACATTTGCGCGCAAGAATGGCAGAATGACTGAGCCGAGACCAGTTTCAAGAAGAAAGTGTGTCCCAAGGTGACACTTGCACCCATTAAGCTAGCATTAATGAGTGCGAAATGTTTATGGTATGCAGTCCAGTGGTGAGCGTGATTGCCAGTGACAATGAAAATTCCTAACGCTGACTGGCCGAACTTTGGGTGGATGAGGGGGGGGGGGGGAGCACTACTAAATGAAACCGGTCACATTTGCAGTAAATGTGTACAGAAAGAATGCACGGAAGCTTTTTCTTCCCGGACTATGTACGTGCCATGCTGCGACGATCTGTACGACCATGTGAAGCGATTTAAGAGATTACCGAACAAAATGATTCTGTTCGATGAATACAAATCCGAAAATTTGAACACTTATTTGACAAATGTGGCATATAAAGGCTCCGAGGTTCTTGGGAGAGGGCAAATAAAAAAGTTTGCCGAAATCACAAAAATTTACAAAAGATTTCTAACGAGACACAAGGGATTCATGTTGGCTTAAAGGCATCGTCCACCCAGATTATCGACTATTTGGATGGGCTATATTTTGTTTCAAGGCTTTCTCATGTTCTTGACCATCCCCGCCCATCCAAATATGAAGTCGAGAATCCGCGAAAATCCCGACAATTCTTGTTCCGAATAACCCGAAGGCCGGGTTCTCCGGAACGGTATTTGGATGGGCGCGCACGGAAGGGCGGACATTACTGGACGGGGCGGTGCCGATGGGGTCCTTATGCCTCTTCGCCATTCCGAAGCGATTCTCCCGCTCAAGCGGCATTTTGCGCAGCGACTTGGGCATTGGCTTGGTTGAGGCCCCACTATCGTTCAATGCCGAAAGCTCAAGATCGCTAACTTGGGATGGACGGTGCCTTCAGAACTTTCTTTTACCGACAAAATCATTCAAAACCTGAGCCAATGTTGGGTAACAGGGCAATAACCTATGCAATGAATACTTTTTAACACACACCGCTGCTCTATTCATGCACCGCAGAGAGCGTAACGATCATTTTGTCCGTATCCGCTCGTTCAGTTTTTGCTAACCCGGAGTCAGGATGCGCTTGGCAGATATCGAAGGCGGATTTGATAACAGTATTTTAAACATTCATAGTAATATAGAATTTACGGGAGAGACTAGTATTTTTTTTTCTTTATTCGTGGAGAAGTTCGTCAAAACTAAGTCAGATGAATGGAATCAAAGGACCCAAATAGCAGGCTAAGATGCTTGGAGAATCCAGCACGTATAAGCGAAAGCTTGATCCACACTGTAGCAGCAAGCACTTGGAGGATAAAACCTCAACTGAGTCTTGCAACCATCAATGTAATATATTTTTGCGAACAAAAAAGGTTTTGCCTTTAAAATTGAGAAATCACCACACTATTATCAGATCGTCTTTATACGAATGTAGAATTGAGTTTTTTATTATTCAAACTCATTCGACTGCACAGTGATAGTCTCATTGAGGCAGCTATGATACCCTCATTGAATATTCATGAGAATTTTCGACACTTGGGACTTTGTGCATGTGCCGTGCCGCGCCGGCACTCCATAAAATGCGTTTGCTGAGCTCGCAAGGGTTTCCGTGGCCGTACAAATAGGCTATGGAGGTTTGTTTGTCGTATTTTGGCAATATCTAGCAACACATACAGCGGTGTAAACAGCAATCCTCTCACGGAACCGAGATTTACTACCCAAAAGGATAATATTCAATTTCGAAACTTTTATAGCAGGACTCTCCTTTTTTACCTTGCTTACTCTTCTCCACAAAATTACAACCGTTTTTCTTCAGTCACTATGGTAGAGATTAGCTTATCAGCGGAAGTCAGCGATTAGTTGTTCCAGCTATTTGCAAGGTTTGGAGAACGTTCTCGTACAGCAATTCATTCTTAAAATCACTTGTTTTTGCAACTAAATTTGAAAATAGAACCTGCTGTGGATTCCAAAAAGCAGAATTTTCAAGAAGCAAGTCGATCCCAGAATTAGAATTTTCAAGAATTCTCATGAGGCAAGTGCGCTATATAAAAACAGAATATGTTCTCATCTTGAGTGCATTGACGCTGAAAATGTAAACAAAGCACTTTTCTTGGAGGCTCTACAGATCAGAATCTAATTTTATTGGAGCATAGGTGCTGAGAACCAAAAATTTTTCGATTCAGATTCGTTTACCTTGGGACATGCTTTTGATAGTCGAGTCGAGAACAATTAATGTCTGGGCCGTATTGAAGCAGTATTCTTGCTTACGATCTGTTACTCATAAATTCAATCAGAATATATTTTTTCTTCCTTGAAATTGTGCGACTACCATGGCTTTACCCTCTTACGTTAACTTCAAATCTTCTACTAATGACGCTAAAGTTGATGCTTTTTTGGAGGAGGGGGAAGGCTGCGAATAAAAAGCAAACTGGAATCACCTCTGCTATTAGGCAAAAGATTTGGAAACGAAAGAAATTCAAACTCATGTTTCACGGAATGCCACTCTAAAAGCAGCTCGGCAAAGTTCGCATGTATGCTTGACGTAAACGTGGTGAAGTAAATCCGCTTGCGCGCATGATGACACGTCGACATAGTGTCAATAAAATTTTCAAACGACGCGCACACATTATTTGTACAGACAACGAGAAGCAGCATGCGCTCAGTGCGCTTCAGCGCCTCGTTCCATGACAAAAACGTCAGTGTAAATAATGTGAGAATGAAGCTACGCCCAAGTGGAAGACGCTAAATGAATATCACTAGGGACAAGAAGGAGGGGTATCAACAGACGAAAATGAAGGATCGTGCGGATTAAGCGCATGGATTACGCAAAGATGACGGGCGGAAGATAGATTGGCAGGTGGCCAAGGGTCAAAACACCGCAGCTAACCACAGAGCGTCAATGGCTATGTTGTCGCTTACCGGTGATTTTGGTCGCCGATAGCGACACCACAGTCCGAAATGACCGTGCAATTAACGATGCGAT